ATATAATAGATAGATAGATAGATAGATAGATAAATAGATAGATAGATGTACACACATACATATGCACTTCCACGTCTTGACAAACAGATCTACCGATTGCATGCATATCTATATGTAGGCACACTCATTTCCTTGTTTGGCTTTGACTTGCTATCGAAGGCAAAGGGATCGACGAGGGCGAGAATGGATTGTACAGCGTCGCCGAATCCAGGAATTAGGGCTATCAGGCCAAGTGGCGGCAGCTGCGGTGGTTGTGCCGGCACGTCCCGTGAGATCACTTTCAGGGGCATGTCCTGACAAAGTGGGTCTGACTACAGTGGTCCGAGTTCGGGCACGGCGGACCTGGCGTAGTTGGCTGAGGGCGTCGGGAGCAGGGTTCGGGCTTTGTGGTTTACGCAGGGGATTTTGAGTTGCGGCTTACGGACCATGACCAGGACATTGGCTTCGCAACTGCCCCCAACCGTGCAGGCCCAATTATAGTATGCTCCACGCCAAAGAACATAAAGTAGCATGATGACTTCACAGTGCCAACAAAAGTGACGGTAGAGGGGTTGTGGCAACCGTGAGTGCTCTAAGTAGGAATGCACAGACACAAATCATACCAATGAAACACCAGTAAACTGTTACGCAGAACAAACAACTGCCCTCATCATAACGACCACTAGCCGCATAGACGTGCGTTCACTTGCATCATCATCATCATCATCATTATCATCATCATCGTTGCCATCACCATGAGCACCAGCATCTTCATCATCATCAACGTCGCGTCGCCATCGTCATCCTCGTCCTCGTCATCATTCATAAGTCGTCTCTACCGTAGAGCAGCGCGGAGCAGGGCGAAAAGACCTCCCACAAACTCGACACGAGAAGAAGAAGCAGCAACAAATGAACCCGTATTCTGGTTGGCATTGGCTTCTGTGACAGCTATGATCACGCCCGTGACTGCAAATCCGGCTAAGGTCATACTTTCAGGCATCAAGCCGCTCCCCGTCATCAATACCCGCGGCATCACCTGGGGCCCCCTGCAGGTTCGTAGCCGCTCGCCATGGAGGACCAGGACATGCGATCACAGCCGGGGCCCGACAGGCTGTCCTCACACGGCTTAGGGCTGGAGTCTTCTTCGTTGAGGAAGGTTGCATCTGGATGTCTAAGAGGTCCTCAGCATCTACAGACGGAGCAGAGTGTCTGCGAATCCCTTTGGCTAAAGACACACTAGCTTCAAGAGGAAAATCTCGCCTCAGTCGCTCAGGGGACAGTTCAAGGGCACAAACCCCTCAGAAGCCCTGCTTCCGGGCCGTCCTGAACTCAGGATGTGAAGGGCTCATCACTCCAATCAGTAAAACCTTTTACTATCCTTCTGTTTTTGCTTTTTCTGTGGTCACTACAGTACCTCGGCAGTAGCAGGGTCGTAACAGGAGTCATGAGTAGTCGACGCCGTCTCTTACTACTCCTGTTACTTCTACTTCTACTTCTACTTCTACTCCGACTTCTACTCCTACTTCTACGTGTACTTCTACTTGTGCCACTGGCCGCTACTACTACCACTGATACCACAACAACCACCACCACCGCTACTACTACCACTACGACCAGTACCGTTACCACCACCGCCACAACCACTACCACTACCAGTGCCACTACTTCCACTCGCTCCTCCTCCTCCTCCTCCTCCTCCTCATGCTGCTCCTCCTCATCCTGCCCTTCTTCCTCCTGCTGCAAGCATTGCTGCTCCTGCTCTTCTGCCTCCTTCTCCTCATGTGCACAAGCTTGCTGCGTGTGCTCCGACATCCAAACTGTGACGCTATCCCAGACCTTCAGCCTTAGAGACTCCAATATCCTAAGCCCACCCCCCCAAATCCGGAAAACCCAAAGCAAAACCCCAAGAACGAGGCCCAAAGCCCCAAACTCCCGGAATCCCTGGCGGCTAAGGGTGGCCATGGCTCCATGGTCGTCATCTCCGATGGCCAAGGCGCCTGGGCAAGCCCGGGGCTTGGAGCGGATATAAGAGTTTGGGGGCTTAGAATGCAATTGGGGAGGATGTAAATTACAGGTTTGGGGGGTTTGGTCTTGATTTATGGTTTTCGTAGCTACAGGTTAGGGTCTGGATTTTAGGTTTAAGGATGTCTGGCGTCAGGGTTTATTGTCTTAGGGTTTTAGTGTCTGGGGTTTAAAGTTTAGACTGCTGGGTTGGTGTAGAGTGTTGCGGCTTGGGGAATTTTAAGTCTGTGCAGGGACACCCACCTCCTCTCCACTCCCAAATGCCTTGACATCCCAACCGCAAAGTCCTGCTTCCTGCCTTCTGCAAGCCTTGTATGCTTTAGGCCTTCAGGGGTTTAGGGTTTAGGTGCCCGAAGCACCAAGGTCAACAAGGCCTTCGGTACCCCGAAGCCTCCGTGATTTAGAAGCATGGGGCATGCCTTCGTTTGACACATTTTGGGAATACATCCTCAATGAGTACATTTCTGTCATACCAATCGCGTACTGTGAAGTCATAGGTACAGGCTGTTTGTGACCGTACGTGCGTTTGTTTACTTGAATGCCCCTACGTGGATGGTTTGTGCGATTATATAAGCCCTTCTGCAGACTCCACCACCGTGTGATACCGTGTGCTTCCCCTGGCAATAATAAGAATGGGGATCCTCCTGCTATGAGGTTGAGAAGTGGATGTACGATTCGGGAGAATACTGAGATTCTTGGAACGGACCTCCGGGAAACAAAAGGCTTGGTGACCGGGTTTTCGCCTCGATCAGAGGCCCCGACCCCCGGACTGCCCTGGACCCCACACCAGCTCAGCTAACTCAGTAGAAAGGCCCGGATGGGTTCCATCAGCTCCGGTAGCGGAGCTTCGCCGAAGGAGGTCTGGAAAGATGCCTCCCGCGGTTCAGGGCTTAATCTTTTAGGGTTTGAGGGTTCCTGGTCTAGGGTTTTGGGTGTGTAGGTTTTTAGGACTTTTGGGTTGGTGTCCTTGGCGATCTTGTTGTTCGGCTTCGGATTCAAAGGGGCTAATGATCTCAAGATGAAGAAGCCCCAGAGCCTCAACTGCAAGTCGCCGAACCTTGAATCCCCTCAGTTGGGCACCAAACCGGGATGCCCCGCGGTGCACGCTTTCGTTTCGTACGTTTGTCACTGTGTGCTTGTTGGTGTTGGTGTTGGTGTTGGTGGTGGCGGTGGTGGCGGTGGTGGCGGTGGTGGCGGAGGTGGCGTTGTTGCGTCACTTCTTCAGGCTGTCTTTAACCTTTCGAAGTTCGACCATCCGGTGCAGCTTGAAGCAGCGACTAAAGAACCTGAACTCCTGAGGCACATCGCATCAGCCCTCGAGCAGGTTACGATCGAAGCTCGAAGCTTCTGCCTTCCCGAACGCACACGGCATTAAATTTAGAGCCTAGTACATCTCGAGTCGCAAGCCTTCGTCCGTAAAGCCAAACCCGAATGCTCCAACGGAAACGAGGTCTCAAATCCCTGAAACCATATTATATAATATAATATCATATCATCTCATATAATATAGTATTGTATTATATTGTATATATATATATATATATATATACTGCTACCTAAACCCCGAAAACCAAGCCGCAAAGCCGCAGCAGCGCTCCTATCCGCAGCCCGCGTGCCCTCACAAAAACCCTAAGAGAAAGCTTCAGGCCCTTCGAGTACCCGGTAAACCCCACGACCGCGGCCTCCCCCTTCCTGGTGAACACGGGGCAGGTGGATCGTTCGATGACCTGGGTTTTCAAACCATGTCCGCGGCTTTGGGTCACCCCAACCCCTACCCTGAACCCCGAAGTACACGCCTCCCAAGCTTAAGTCAACTTCCTAGGCCCTGGGCCCTGTTCCGTAGCTCCTCATGTATCAGTTTCAATGGGTGCCCCGATCATGGACAGCTACCAGTAGGGGCCAAACCGGATGCGCCTCTTGCTGCGATTAGGGCGTGGCCTCTGAGGTTTATTCCGTCTGCGACTCGCATTATGATTACTACCGCGCCTCTTATGTTCCCGTTCTTTGAAGATCCTGATAACACTGCTCGCTTCTGCCAGCATATACACTACTGCTGATGAGATTCACGACGTTAGCCTGCAGTACTACCATTGACTACCATCTCTCATCCCCACCGGCAATCGGACTTCGCTCTCGTGGTTTACGGTTTAAGGCTTGTCCGGGTTTCGAAAGTAACCCTAGGCTTCCCCTGCCCTAGGTGAAAAGGCCGTCTCGGGTGGAGGCTTGTTGCAAGAGGTGTGCAAGGTTTCCAAGCCTTGCCTTCTTGTTTCGCAGAGGAGCCCCTGCGACCCCAGAAAAAATGCAAAGTAAAAAATCTCCGGGTCACCCTGACTCATCGCTGAGTCCCCAAATCAGCCCTAAGGACTAGACTCCAACCCCAAACCCAGCAAAACCTAGGTTCTGACAATTCCCTTAACGCAAAACGCAAGAACACCAAAAACCTCTCCACAACCCTAAACCCGTGTGCCTCAACCTGAATCCCCTAAACCCTAAACCCTAAACCCTAAACCCTGAAAGCCCAAACCCGAAGAAACAGAAAAGTTCACCGAGTCTGAGGTCACCGCCACCTGCGCCGACTCGGGAGAGCTGTCCTCCAACCTGAAGGTTGCAGCTTTAGAGCTTCATGATTACCAATAATAATTTGGGGTTTAGGGGTTAGGGTTTAGGGTTTAGGGTTTAGAGCTTAATGTAGGGGCCTAAATAATTACCAATAATAACTTGGGGGTTATGGTTTAGGGTTTAGGGTTTAGAGCTTCATGTAGGGCCTAAATAATTACCAAAAAGGGGGCTACTTCTCATGATTATGGTATCCTGGGCCCCAAAACCCTATTGTACTTGCTAAGGCCCCTATAGTAGGATAGCAATCAGCAGACCCTGTGCTCCTAGACTCCCCGTCAACACTCCTTTATATAATAGCGGCCAATAACGATGACGACAACAGTTCTCGTAATTACTAAGCGCGATGATAGTAATGACAACACTCATCACAATAACAATAGTCGTCATCATAATTTGACAAAAACAAACGTTTTGCGGTAAACAAGAACAGCGAAATAATGACCATAATAAGACCGATTATAGCTAATAACAACATGGTATTAATGATTAAAGCATACAAGCAGTGAGAATACTGCCCAAACTTTACCCTGACACCAGAGACCCTGGAAGTCGTCAGAAATGCGCCTTCCTTTTTCCACCTTTCGAGCTGCTCTAGGACTAGTCCCTTTCGTACGGCGTGCTTCTGCTACCCAAAATCTCTAGTCTCTTTCGAGCGGTGTCTTCCTGTTTCTCGAATGCTCTGGTCTCTTTCCAGCACCTTGCTCCTTATTCTGTCCGTTTCGAGCCGCGCGCTCCTTCTTCTCAAATTGCCGAAACTGCTTTCGAGCGGCTTGCTACCGTTTATCAAAAGCCCCACCCCTTTCGAACAGCTTGCTCCGTTTTCTGAAGAGCTCGAGTTCGTTTCGAGCTGTTTGCTCGTTGCACTCATATGCTCTAGTCGTTCGCGAAGTATGCTCCTGTGTATCAAAGCTCTTGTCCTTGCGAGCCGTTTGTTTCCTTGTTTCAGCCGCTGTATGGCCTTTTGCTTCCTTCTCTCATATGCTCTCATCCCTCGAGCGGTTTGCTCGTTGTTTTCATTCGCTCTAATCCTTCGAGAAGTCCGCTCCGTCGTATCAAGGCCCTAGTTCCTTGTGAGCCGCTTGTTTCCTTTTCTCAGCCAATCTAGCGCGTTTCGTTTTTGAATGGTTAGCGCCTTTGTTCTCAAATGCGTTAGTCCCGTTCGAATGGTTTGATCCTTTTTCTCAGATGCACTGGTCCCTTTCGAGCGGCTTACCTGGGCCTCTGAAACGCTCTATTCGTTTCCGAGTGGCTTCCTTCTTTTAGTAGGTTAGGGTTTGGCGGCCTAGTGTAGCATAGTTGTATCGTGAAAAAACTAGCCCATGTATGCACATGTGTGTTTACAGAGGCACATAAGCTCGTGCGAACATGTATACTGTATACACTCACAGACACATGCACCTAGAGACGTGCATAAGTGCATGCTCAAACACGCAGGTATCAGCCTACATCTACATGTGCCGGAAGGTCAACAATATCCGCAAGGGTAACAGCCAGTGCAAGAGCGAGCAAGATCCAGTACCGTTACCACAAGTCTCATTCGCAGGATGACAATTACAGCACTACAACTACTCTACTATGCTTATGGTAACCGTCCGAGCGACAAGTCGTCCAGGAACCCGTTCTTCCTCGGCGGGGCGTTCGCTCAAGCGCCCATGTCGTCAAAAGCTGGGGGGTGCTCCATGCCCCCATCTTCAGGGCTCCAGAAGCTCATGCATCCAGAGGCTTCGAGTTTGGACCCTCAGGTTCATGACTTCCCTTTGGGAGTAGGGTTCAAGCGGGCATCGGGCTTACAATGTAGGATGTCCCGTGTGGGAATTAAGGTTGGAATGCTGATTTGAAGATTCCAACACCCCTGACTGACTGCAAACCATGTACCCAAAGCGACGTAATGTTGGCGACTTCCTCCCTCCGCCGGCCCTTTGTACCCCTTGATCCCCTTCCAAGGTTTGCAGTTTTTGGCGTAGGGACGAGTGGTTTAGGGACTTTGGGGTTTAAAAATACTGAGCTTGCTTGCGTTTGTTGGCGCATCGACCCTCTCTCACCGAAGATGCAGGGTCAGGGCGGCTGAGCCGCCCAGGGCTCTAGCACAACCAATTTGAAATTCAAGGGTCTTGGGCCAGTCTGTCCTCTTTGTATGCTCGATCTCGCAAGCATGCGGGGTTTTCAGAAACTTAGGGGTCCTTACCTGAAGGAACCCTTGTACGCAGGAGCCATATTCGGGTCCCTAATGTTTCTGCTGAGCCGAGCATCACTTTCACCTCCTGGCCCGCAACGGAGACGATGCCCTTCCGAACTGCCATTGGAGGCACGAACCTGTTTGCAGGGGCCTCCTGCAGCTGGAGATTAAACAAAGCGCCCGGAAGCGCAAGAAGGAATGACTGATTGAAAAGACAAGCCCTTTCTGGGCAGGTTCAGAAAGAGTGTACTTTCTACAAAGCCCGCTTGCATAGGCATCATGTCGTGTAACTGCTGCGAGCCAGAACTGCGAGGAGCAGCACAAGCTTCCGGTCCCTGTACGGGGCCCCCAGGGCAAGAACTTTAGGACGGAGAGATCTGCTCTCTTGCGTCACTCTCGGATTAGGCACTGTTTTCGGGAAAGGGTTTAGGGCCTCAGGGATTTAGGATTTAATTAGTGGGGCTTGTCTTGGAAGATTGAGACATGACAAAGGTATGATTTTGGGGATTCCCTTGTTCGGTGCACTTGCCCTGATATTGTCCCGGTCCAGCCACACGTTTCACCCAAATCAGCGTTCCTGCGCGTAACAGAGGGGCCTTCATCAGTAGAACAGGATTTGGGGGCCGTACTTTACCACAAGTGTGTGCTAAGAGATCCGACCCCTATACTAGGAAAAGACCCCGATCCGCTAAATCCAATCCAACCCAAGCCATAGCATGGCACGGCAGGGCAAGGACCTCCATTGGTAATTGTGAAGGTGTTTCCGGTGATATCATCCATACCTCGGAAATTAGGACTGCGGTTGTAGGCGAGGTGGGGCTTAGGGTCTGGAGAGCTTTGAGATCTAGACTGTTGAGACAAAACTCAATTGCTTGCAGCCTCCAACGCCGCCATGCAC